CCTGAGCCGAAGGCAGTCGCTTAACCAACTGAGCCACCCAGGCGCCCTAAAGTGCTGCTTTTTAATAAATCTAACAAACACTTGAAGTTAAAAAAAAAAATCGTATTTACTATTCAATCTGGATAATACATTTTAAGAAGCAAAGTTGACTTTTCTTATGAAAGAAGTAAAATCCTATGGTTTATGCCCCCTTTATGTGAAATCTGACAAATGGAAAAAAGAGTCTAATTTCATAGGGAAATGTAAAGTCTGTATGATACAGACTCAATGTTGAAACCAAGTGGAAGTACAGTTCTTACTCTCTTCTGGAGTGAGGTCTGGGTATACCTCTTCTAGAGCAGCTCGCAGCCTTCGCTCATCCACAAAAGGCAACAGAGCAACACCTAGGGAAAAAAACGCACACCAACCACCCAGCTATTAGGATCAACCAAATTCCACTTATTACTCGTCCAAATAAACATTTCTAATAGAATATCCTTGCTGCCGTAAACACTCTGGAACTGAACTCTATTCAAATCTCAAATGCAAATACTTTCCGTGTGTTCAGAGAAGAAAAAAGTTTCATATATTTTCCATCCTTAAGATGGCTCATATGAAAACCCATGTTTGCAGAATCTTAACTCCGTGATGATAAAATTTTTAAATTAAATGAACAAGTGGCCACCTGGACACCAGTCTCTGTTCTTGTGCCTTACTTACGCGGATGCTCTTGGGCAAGCCAGTTAATCTGCCAAGAGTTTGAGCTTGTCCTTTCATCTTTCTAGGACTTGGTTTTCAACTAAAATATTCAGAAGACCCGTTCAATGTGAATAAATACATGGAATGTCTTCCAGCTCTAAAACTGCATAGTATTCTTTTTTTACATTTTAAAATCTAATACCTAATTTAGATACAAAAAGTTTTTAAGGACTGGCTTAAGTAATTTTGGGTGCTGGGTAGGAATGCAACTGTTCATATTCAGGCTGAAAACGGTCCTGTGGAATGTGCTGGAATTAAAGTAATTGCTTTATTTCAGCCTACATTCATAACTTTCAAAGCAACATACCAGTAATACAATTATCTATTTCTAGAAAAATACATGAAGTTATTGAACCGTTTGTATATGTTGTGCTGTATACAGTTTAGTCTTTTAACAAAATACAAAATGTAAAATAAATAGCAAAGAGAAATGCTAAATAGAGCTAAATAATTCTGAAACTACTGCCAGTCAAAACTGCCATACTTGTGATTGTTCCTTTTAAAATGATGAGAAATGAAAGGTTCCCAAAGTTGTCATTAATTATTTAGCTACCATATTTTCAAAGTTTAGAAACAGATTCAATTTCATTACCTAGAAGGATAATATGCATTTTTAAAAGTTAAAAAGAAACTAAGTTCTAGTGTGAATTTTGAAGGGCCTAAAAAATTATTTCAAGAATATCAACATCTATCACCTGAGTTAGGCTATTTCATCTACTGGTATACATTTACATGGAAAAAACGTAGGGAGTTGTTCAAGTTTTGTTTAGTCATACACTTAAGATCTAAACAAATTATCAGAAAGACTTTCCTACAATATCAACTCCAAAAGCCAGCTCCAACTGTTAAGCAACTTGCAGTGCTAATGACAGCAATAAGGTTACTAAGCAACAAATCAGCCCTACTGGGCAGGATAGGAAGAAATACCTTATACCCAGATGTGATAAAGTTAGTGCTTGGGTGAGCTGATAGTAAAAATGACATTAGCAGCTAATTTCTCCTGAGTACTTATTTATTATGTTAACATGCATTAGCTCAACAACACAAGTAACCCAAGTAGTGGTAACACTTAGGTAAATACATAGTAGTCACACTCTCTGGGTCCAGACCTCAGTTCAGCCACTGTGTGACTTTGATCAAATGACTTAAAATTCTCTATTCATATATAAAATATGTAGCATTCGAAATTATGTATATTACAAAAACACAACACTGTAAGGGTTCAATAAATGTTGAAAAAGTACCCAGATATATTTTGTCTTCTATCATTTTAAGACACACTCAACTTAGGTAAGAACTTAAGTATTACCATTACTTTCAACAAGTTTTGAACAGCTGGGGGAATAAATATAACTCCTCACGGTACTAAATTTGACCTAAAAAAAGTTGTGTTATTACAGTCTAATAAATGAAAATACTTACATAAAATATAAAAATATTAAAGGTCTGAGTTTCAACTCATCCTAAAATTCATTTGGAATCTCAAGGGACCCCAAATAGACAAAACAACCTTGAAGAAGAAAAATAAAGTTGGAGGACTCCCACTACTTGATTGCAAAACTTACTAAAGCTACAGTAATTAAAACAATTTGGTACTGGCATAAGGACAGGCATACTGGGCAGTGGAACAGACAGCCCATAAATTAGCCCTCAGATATGCAGTCAATGATTTTCAATAAGGGTGCCAAGACTGTTCAATGGGAAAGAGCAGTCTTTTCAATAAATGGTGCTGGGGAAAATGAGTATCCACAGCAAAAGATGAACCCTAACCTTACACCCTACACAAAAGTTAACTAAAAATGGATCAAAGACCTAAATGTTAAGAGCTAAAACTGTAAAATTCTTAAAAGAAAACAGGGAGGAAGCTTCATGACACTGGATTTGGCAATGACTTCTTGCATACGACACCAAAAACACAGGCAATGACAAAACAGTCCAACAAAAATTGAACTTCCATCATAATTAAAAATTTTTGTTCATCAAAGGACATTATCAAACAAAGTAAAAAGACAATCACAAAATGGAAGAAAATAAATGCAAAGTCATATATAAGAGACTGGTGTTCAAAATATATAAAGTACTCCTACAACAACAAAGACCCAATTCAAAAATGAGCAAAAAACTTGAATAGACATTTCTCCAAAGATACAGAAATAGCCAATAAGCACATGAAAAAATGCTCAACATCACCAATCATTAGGGAAATACAAATCAAAAGCATAGTGAGATACAGCTTCATACCCATTAGGATGGCTATTATCAAAAAACAAAACAAAAACAAAAAACCCAGAAAATAGACACAAATAAATGGAAAAGACATTACATGCTTATGGACTGGAAGAATACTGTTAAAATGTCCTTACCATCCTAAGCAATCCCTATCTATATATAGGGATTCAGTGCAATCCCTATCAAAATACCACTGGCATTTACCACAGAACTAGAACAAGGAATCCTAAATTTTGTATGGAACTACAAAAGACACCAAATAGCCAAAGCAATCTTGAGAAAGAACAAAGCTGGAGGTCTCACACTCCCTGACTTCAAACCATACTACAAAGCTATAGCAATAAAAACAGTATGGTACTAACATGAAAACAGACATATAGATCAACGGAATAAAACAGAGAGCCCAGAAAACCCCCCCCATATATATGGTCAATTAATCTATGACAAAGGAGGCAAGAATATAATAGGAAAAGACAGTCTTTTCAAGAAATGGTGTGGGGAAAACTGGAAAGCTACATTCAGGAGAGTAAAACTAAACCATTTTCATGCACCATACGCACAAATAAACTCAAAATGCATTAAAGACTTGGATGTAAGACCTGAAACTATAAAACTCCTAGAAGAAACCATAGGCAGTAAGCTCTTTGACATCAGTCTCATCAATATTTTTTTTGGACCAGTTTCTTCAGGCAAGGACAACAAAAGCCAAAATAAACAAAGGGCCTACATCAGACTAAAAAGCTTTTGTTTCAGCAAAGTAAACAATCAATAAAATGAAAAGGCAACCTACTGAATGGGAGAAGATATTTGCAAATCATACATCCAATAAGGGGTTGATATCCAAAATATATAAAGAACTTACACAACTTAATACCAAAAAAACAATCTAATTAAAAAATGGGAAGAGGATTTGAAGACATTTTTTGCAAAGAAGACATCCAGATGGCCAACAGACACAAGAAAAGTTGCTCAACATCACTAATTATCAGAGAAATGCAGATCAATACCACAATGAGATATCACCTCACATCTTTAAGACTGGCTATTATCAAAAAGAAAAACAAAAACAAGTGTTTGTGAGGTGTGGAGAAAAGAGAACCCTCATACACAGTGGTGCAGCCACGATGGGAAACAGTATGGACGTTTCTCAAAAAGTTAAAAATAGAAACACCATACAATCCAGCAATTCCACCACTGGGTATTTATCCAAAGAAAAGAAAAATACCAATCTGAAGAGATAAATGCATCCCTATGTTCCCTGTAGCATTATTTACAACAGCCAAAATACGGAACCAACCCAAGTGTCCATCGACAGACAAATGGATAAAGATGTAATATACATATAATGAAATACTACTCAGCCATAAAAAAGAATGCTTACCACTTCCAACATCAGGTTATTATGCTAAGTGAAACAAGTCCTGACAGAGAAAGACAAATACCATACGATTTCACTTACATGCGGAATCTAAAAAAACAAATGAACAAAAACAAAACAAAACAGGAACAGATTCACAGATAAGGAAACAAACTCTTGGTTACCAGAGGGGGAAGAGGTTGAGGGAATAGGCAAACTAGGTGAGTGGACTGAGGGGTATAAACTTCTAGTTATAAAATAAGTCAGTCATGGGGATGTTATATACAATATAGGAATACAGTCAATAATACTGTAGTAACTTTGGTGATAGATGGTAATTAGACTTATCATGGGGATCACTTCATAATGTATAAAAATATCAAATCACCATGATGTCCACCTGAAACAGGATAGTGTATGTCAATTATACTTCAACTAAAAATACATAAATACATAAAAGCCATTTACTGAATAAAAAAAGGAAGTAACAAATGTTGGCAAGGATGTGAAGAAATTGTTAACCATTATGCATTGCCTCACTTTTCCTCTGGATGATTTATGCTATGTCATACTACAATGATATATATAGAAAGCAAAACATCTGCATGTTTATATATTTACTTATTTATTTAACACTTACATAAACATGCTTACTTATGTACTTATTTTACTTTACTACCTCTTAGCCCTTTCCCTCTAATCAAAATATCCTCCACAAAGCACCTTAAAAACAACCTAAGACTCCAATCCATTTACATGTAACAAAATATGACCATAGAGCACAACACCTGCTAACCTCAATCAGTGGGCTGCATTTCCCATTATCATTCCATTAAAGTAATATGAAATTTCCTTTACTACATAAACCAAAAGTCAACTCAAAAATCTCATTAAATGATTTTCAGTTTGTAAATTATTATTTCCCCCCCCCGTCGCACAATTCTCTGAGTCATGTTACTGGTCATCTGCACCACAGGAAATAACCAAGGAGAAAGTAAAAACATGGTTTTACCAAATGAAATTATCTTAGAAAAATACATGGTCGAAGAAAAGGTTAAAGTGATTTGCTGAAAGGGGCTTTGGCATGAAATAATAGTTGACTTACTGTGTGAGAGACTTCTTTATTGTGTTTTACATTCAGTCATCATCACACATTTGCTGAGTGGTAAAAAGCACGTTAAATTTAGTAGTAATTTAAAATTGACATTCTTTAAAAACTGTAAACAGAAGGAATGAGAAAATAACAGCTAAATAAATAAATAAATAGGAAATAAACTTTAATGATTACTGTCAAGTATTTAAAACTAAATTTCTAAAACATTTTTCATTTTCAAATTTCCATGGAGTATAAGTGAATCTCCACGTAAATGCAATCATGTTTCTGTATTTCTCAGCAACCTTACAAGGTGTCAATGAGCTACTAACTGGAAGCCAGTCCCAAGACCCAAGTCCCATTAATTAATCACAAAAAAACCCCACAAAAGAATGATCAATCTTTTCAATTCAATTTACTGTTTAGGGGAATGCTAATCATTGCTAATGCCAGGATGGATAGAAAAAAATCAAATTTTGACATCTAATTCTTAAAATATTTATCTTTTACAGAAATTCTTTCATCACCTAAATCATGTTTGCTCACAGTTTACTAAAAAGAGGAAACTGTTTTAACAAAAAAGGAATAATATCTAAATTTTACCTTGCCATGCATATTTCTTCCCATTCAAATCAATAGCAAAATCTTCAGGGTAGAAGTCAATTATACTAGAATCCTATGTCAAAGAGAAAAAATGAAGATTCAAAACAAAGTCACACATGTCTGAGTTATAAAGAATTTGACATTTCTTTCATGTTATCAGGCCTGATGAGAAAATCAGGTTTCATTCCTTTAAAAAATGTTATTAAAATATCAGGTCATTAATCCCAATAGTAAAACAAAGTTAACAATTTTATTTTAAAAAATGAAAAAAAAAAAAAAAGGATTAGAGAGGAATTTTAGAACTGAAACTGTGGACCCAAGACAGTCAATGAAGAGTTTACTGACTCTAATAATTCCTACTTCTTGCCTGACTCTCCTTCTTTCTATCTGGCACACAAAATAAGCTCAGAGAGGATTTTAGGTAGGCCAGTCTGAACTGTGGTAGCACCACACATGGCTGGAACAAATAAAAATAATGACTTACAGGTAGGCTGAGAACAAAGTAACTGTTATAAGAATTGCTCCCAAACACTAATTTTATTTATACCAGGTAGGGCTCTCATAGCCAAGGAAAGTGGGGGGTGGGGGAGGTGAAAAATATACAGAAGAACTCAATACTTTTGTTTTTGGACTTCACTGTTTTAACTATGAGATGCAAAAGCAACTGTGTCTAATATTAGTGAAACATATGACAAAAACCCAGTTACTAACACACTCAAAATACTAAGACACTAACGGGATCACTCATGAGCTTCCGCCATGATGGAGGTAGAAAGTTACCACTTGCAGCTGGAAAAACTCCCATAAGTTGTTCCAATGGTTTAAACTGCAAGAAAGAAAAAAAGTTTAAGACACAATTTTTATCTAAGCCAAAATTCTATGAATTTTATGACTCTAAATAATTAAGCTTACTGGTTTAGTGCCCTTCTCAAAATCAGATGGCATGTCTGCAATACCTTCAAAGTCTGAAGCAAATGGTGCATAATGGAATGGATAATACCACTTCCAGGAAGCACAGCCCTAGAATCATAACAAACAAAAAAAAAACCAACAAAAACAAAAATCTACGTTCAATACGGACACAGAAAAGCAAACAAAAATTAGAATATTAGCCTATAACATTCCATTTATAAAACACATGACTTCCACTGTACATCCCATATATTAATTTTTTCCCATGAGTCCTAACAGTTGTTTTGATTAACTGAACTTTTACTTACTATCAATGGCTCCTAGATTTAAAAACTACTGCAAAGCATCTTTAATTATCAGTAGTTAATACCAAACTTTGTAAATATAATTTGTAAAATACAATTTTATTTATTTGTATTTACCTTTAAAATGTGCTTGGTTACATTTCTTTCCAATTTTAAGCTGCCATCATCAAATAAAATGAAGAGCAGTGGTAGCTGGCACTTACTTAGCATATAGATGGGTAAGGGACATGACTAGAACAATGACTAAATAAAACTTCGTAAGTTTCATTTTATAATTCCCTATTATATTTTCATTGTGACAACTTTCTCTTTATTATAAAAATATTTAAGTAAACCCATCAAAAAGAAAACAGTACGTTTTACTGATAGAAAAGAGAACTCCTCCTAATACATGTTTTGATTCTATGCCTAGTGAATTAAAATCCTGAGGACAAAAGTAAAACATGAATTTACTATTATACACTCGATAATGCATTAAATTATACTTTCCACTTAATGACAAACTTCTTTTCCCAGATCACACCAAACTTAACTTGCCTTGCTCTCAGAGAATGAAACCATGTATTAACTACTAGTGTTACAATTCCCTATATGTCTACCTAATCTCTCACCAATCTGACATCTCAATTATCAAAAACTTTAAGTCAGATACGGATTACTCCAATTAGAATGCACTTTATGTAACATCACTACATTACACGGAGGAAATGGTATCATTCAAATGCCTTTCAAATTCTTACTAGTATTTTCTAGGCTTTGTCCTTTGTTCAGTCGTTTAGTGACTATTATTTTTTACTTCCAATTAAAAAACCACCATACTTTAATTATGTTAAAGACAAAGTACACTCAAACCCACACTACTTGATGCTGAAATCCTTAAGCACAACAAAAATTATCTTTATATATTAACACTTGAGAAGTGTCAAAGGCTTTACAAACAAATATTATTTAAGGTAATGAATTTCTAAACAGGAAGCTTTAAAAAACTGAGTCTGGATTTAATTTCAGAATACAGCTCAGTAATACACAGAAATTATGATCTTCCTAGAATGATTAGCTAGGTTTAGAGGAAAATATTCTCTCTGTACCTGGTAATAATATCGAAGAACCCAGCAGAGCCCCTCAACATAAGACTGTACAACTTTACGACGGAATTTCTCATCAGCTGCATCAACGTCAAATTTGTTCTTGTAGTACCGCTGCTTCCAACCAGCTTCCCATAGCCTAAAACCCAGGCAAAGCCGGTTCATGTTGAATTAATACTTTCCATAATTGTCCACTGGTTTATCACCCAAATCATTTTATATTTGATATCCAGGTGAAATGTGAATGAGATAAACAGTAATGCTAATACAGCTTCATTTAATTATTTCTAAAAAGCCCACTTTCACAGAATTTATTAAAAGATAGTTAAACATCAAAAATCCAAACACTGATTCTAGTAAGACCATTATAAAACTACATTTTGGAAAAAGAGAAAGTAACTATTTATTAAGGTAGATACTGAACACTTGTTTGTTCAAATTTTAATACTGTTTTACATGTTTTTTGATTGTGGACCAATTCTGAAACTACACTGTAAGATTCAAATATTGAAGATATTTTATACCAGTTCCTCAGTTTGTTAAAATACATTTAAACTAAACAAAGGAGTCAATCAAATTACTTTAAAAAAAGATTTGCATGGGTAATTTTTTAAAAAGTAAAAAATGGTTTGTAGAATAATAATCTAGGAACCAGGCAGAAAATTATGTTTACACCTATTCTCCCATCCTTGGGTCTTATCCCTCTTTCAGCTAAGAGTTGTTGGCTTAAGGGAAGGACACATACACACATGTATGTATGTTCTGGTAGAACTTAGAAGCAGGTCAATCAATTCACTAAATTATCATTAATCACTTAAAATACATGTGAAGAACCACTTTTTTGAAGTGTTTTTTCTTTTTAAGTACTCATTTTTCATTCTTTAGAAGATTTAAACATTTTATTGAAGGAACACAAAGAAGCCAAGGAACACTAAAGAAACAAATCAGAACAGATCAAGAACATCATGATGATTCTCATTAAGGGCTATTTTCTACCATGTGCCACAATTCACAAATTAATTACAGTCATGTTCCAGAATACACCACACCACTTTTAATTCCCTCCCACCTGCCCCAAGCATTCACAGAACATCAATTAAGACAAATATCTTCTATGATGTGGATTTTAACTGTTTTACAGAAAATATTAATGAAATACGTATCAAGAGTCTCAAGCATTTCTTGAAAGAAGCATTTCCACCTTGACTATTCTCAGCACTGGGATTACACAATAAAGTACTAACAAATCAAGTTAACTATTAAGCTGGTATTGATCAAGATGGCTACACAATAAAATAGATAACATACTCTAAGAGGAAAGTCCAGAGTTGCAGAAACAGAGGATCAGGTAAATGCTCAATCACAAGTCACCACATATCTCAGAATCTGACATCAAAGGACATTAGGAAAATACAGAACCATACATGACACTTGAGAAGCTTCTCATCATAAATGCAAACATACCATCCACATCCTATAAAAGAATCATGAGTTGTGGCCCACTACTGTTTCACTTTGAAAATATATCATTTTGCTAAATTCTTAATGAATTACAATTATTAAGATTGTTGGCCTTTTGCACTCAGAACTCAGGATTCAAATCTGGATTTAATTATACGAGAGGCTATTAATCTTATATAATGATCTCAAATTTCTGGATAAAGAATCAAAGTTTCCTTTTACAAATTTTAAGTATATAGCTAAAAGGAAACTTCTCTGTCATGAAATAGAATTGTATATATGCAAGTCTGTGGTTTTAAAAAATATACATATTTATCTCTTAACTAAATGACTTTTGCTATTTCATTTGAGGAAAAACCTTTCCAAATGAGAAGAGTAAAGCAAACTATGCTACGTATCCAAGTGTAACTGAACTTTCTATGTTAAGCAGCTTGAAAATTTAATCTCAAAACAGTAACATTCAGATCACATAGTCAGAGCTAAACACCTCATGTCTAGCCGATCTAGTGCCTGGTCTCAGAGGGAAAAGTGGCTTGGAGGACAAAAACCTGCACGCATACTAATCTAGATACTTAGATTTAACAGCTATAGCTTACACATCTCACTGGAATTTACTGACTATTCTAACCCTCCACATTAATTACTGGTGGATAAAAAGATCACAGGCAAGCATCTGAAGGCACTGCTGCTCTAAGCTAAATAGCATTAATTAGACAGCATCTATTTCAGCAATTTGATAACAAAGAGTTACCAAAAAATGGTTTCACCTGACGTTATCCTCTGGCTCAGGTTCACTGTCACTGTCTTCTGCTTTTCGCTTAATTCCTCCTATTGGAGACGGGGAGCCATCAGAAGTGAAACTCGTATTAGGAGATATTGAAGGACTCTGCAAACAATTATGACATTACAGAGGAAGGATTTAATTATTCATTTCACATAAGAAGTTACATCCAACCGCTATTACAATCATGCTTCATGGTAATACAACTGTTAAAGCTATTAAATAGATACGGTAAGTATATTTAGAAGACTGTTCTTGGCCTACTCTACTCCCTCAAAAAAAGAATTATATAGTTCCAAGCTTCCTATGCTTAAACTCAAAAGAATCTGCACAGTAGAATAAAATTACTTCAGAAGAAAAAAGAATTTAATTTTATCAATTTTTAAAAATTAAAGGACTGGAATTATTTTTTTCTTTGGTGGTTCCCTCATGTTATGAACTCGTGATCACTTTCTACCAATCAAACAGCAAAGTTGTAAGGGGGAAAATATAAATACCTAATTAGTAATACACAAAATAGTCAGTGCTGGTGAGAATGAAGTTAAGCGGTAAATGCTCAACCTCACACAACCATTTGGAAAGCAACAGTTTAACAAGACTCTGCCAGATAACTGCTAAATTATTTTATAGATAATGTTTTAAAATTCAAGGTCCAAGTAAAAATGTATTAGTAACTTAGAAAAATGCAGATTTATTATTTTAAAGACTTGGATACCACTTTAAATTCACTATTATCTTCCGTTTGTATCTAATTCAATGAACACAGTGAACACCCTAAAGTATTTTATTTATTTATTTTTTTTTTTTAAAAGATTTTATTTATTTATTTGAGAGAGAGAGAATGAGAGACAGAGAGCACGAGAGGGAAGAGGGCAGAGGGAGAAGCAGACCCCCTGCTGAGCAGGGAGCCCGATGCGGGACTCGATCCCGGGACTCCAGGATCATGACCTGAGCCGAAGGCAGTCGCTTAACCAACTGAGCCACCCAGGCGCCCCAACTTTAGTTTTGTTACATGATAAAAACCACAAGTGGCAAAAAAGGTTTTCATGGTAGTTTTTCTTCTGTTATTCACAGCATATTAGATATTGTGATTAAATTGAATTATTTTTAAATTGAGAGCTTAGCAGGCTATTTTAATAATACTGTAACTAAAACCTTAGTATGAATGTAGTTCACACCATAGGCCAAAAAATGTTACAACAAAGCAAAACTGTATTTCTCATAGAATTTATAACTTTCTTTAAAAAAATGTATAATTTCCATTTTATTCATGATACTCTATGGCCAATACTGTTCAAAAAAACCAAAACTATAAAATTCAGGAATGTGCTTGTTGTACTTGAAAGTGAGATGGGTACTTTTAGACAGATCTGAGTTTGAAATTCCAAGTCCAACCTTTACTGGTTGTTTGGCCTTGGGCAATTTATTTAACCTCTGTCAGCCTCAACTTAAAATGGGGATAATGTTCTATCTCTTTGTCGGTTACGGCGAGGATTAAATGATATGTATAAAGAATCAACAGCAAGATGACGGCGTGGCGTATGGTGGCTCACCTTTCAGTAAGTCATCACTATTATTTTTTAAACCAACATTAAATCCATATGGATTAAATTATGAGAATGATATTCTTATCAGCTGTCTAAGTACAGAGAAGTTGGGTAAAAAGCAAACTTTCCCAAATTGAAAAACAAGATACAAACTATATCTGATAACAAAAATAATATACCTGCAAGGGAAAACAAAAAGTGGCTTATTTTTTAATACTAAATATCTACTGCTCTTTTCTGCTCTCTACCAACAAAGTCTTTCCTGACCATACCAGATTCACACCAATTGATTCAAATTCCTTTTTAAAAAGTTTTTTGCAATCAAATTTTATGAAATGGCCACAGATATAGTCAAACAGTATTCCAGAACGCAAAATTTAAAAACACATATTTATGAGGAAACAGAAGCATTAGTGTGGACCATCAGGTAGACGCTACTCAATACTAGACACTAATATGCTGAACAGCTCAAACAAACAGCAAAAAAATCTGTAACGTTAAAGACTCCCTCTAAATAAACTGGTAATTAGGCTTTGTGATTTCCTTAAATTCATAACATTCTAGATGAAAATCCCTCTATGCAAAGACTCCAACAGAAATAATTGTGTCAAGGGGAATTAAAACAGGATCGAATAAGCAACCTAATCAATCATCAACCTCCCTATTTGTACTCCCATGGCAGACATTATTAATCAACAGTGGGTACAGTCCTGTGGAGACTCACTGAATCCTTCTCAAAGCCATCAGAGCTGGCAAAGTTTAAACCTCCCTACCTCCCTGGGAATAAGAAAAGGTATTCTATCATGGACATGGTGTTAGACAAACAAGTCACTCAGTTCCACTTTGTGGGGAAGACAGTCACTATAATCTTAATGAGGGACACCAGCCTTTTCTGTTCTATTCAAGCATCTCATTGCCATCCCTTCACTGGCCCTCCATATCCCACTGTTAACCGTGTAAGGAGTAAGACAAGAACACAAAAATCAAACAGAAGAAAAAAACATAACAGAAAGCCAGGCTGCTTCTCTCAGGAGATGCAAATTCTCACGAATTCTCAAATTCCATAGCTAAGGTCCTAAAACTTCGAGATGGGAATTTGCAGAATATAAATCTCCTGATATGGCAAAAATTCCACATACGGGATTGCCCTGCAATAAAGGATCTGAGCATCAATAGGGTAACCGTTAGAATAATGAATTATCAAAACTTATGCAATTTCCTTGAATGTATCAAAACAAAAATTTACATTAGATACCAAACCTTACAAAACATATTTCCTCTCTCTATAACACACACTCTCATGCCTACCAGCCTGAAATAAGCAATAGCTTTGATTCTTTGCTGTACATCAATTTATGGTCTGTTCCCTCACCCCTGCCCCTGCCCTGCCATGTACTCTGGGCTCATGGTGTGTTGCCACTACAACAGGAAGCTACTGGACGGACTACAGCCTTGCTGGCTGAGATGATCTGCCTCTTCAGTCTGGATCACCAAGTTCAAACAAGGAGGGATATCAGGTGGCAAATCCATTCAATTCCTGAGTTTCTAAGTGCAGAGCAACCAGAATCTGCATAGTGAGAGCTACCTTAAATTATGTATTCAGATCTATTCCATGCCTGAGTTGGACAGCAAGAACTTAAGCAGTGAGGAGTACCTGTATTTGACAGACTGAGAAATATATATAATAAAATGCCCATAGCTGATTCCTGGAAAGAAAGGGGAAAACCCACCCCACCTTACCCCCACCTATGAGATACTCTGATGTCCCCATCATGCTTCTAGCACCCAGTACCTTTAGGGGAAAGGGGAAGCACTGCGCCCATTTGCGTTACAGAAACATTGCTGCCACTTAGCTATATTTACATGCATTTTCCTTTCTTTCCCATCATTTAGATATTTACATATTGATAATCATGGATGCAACAAAGTTAAAAATATCTCAAGGGAAAAGAAATTGAGAAAAACTACAAAACAAAACAACTCCAGGCTGAGTAACAAAATTCACACACAGCCACAAGAGACCTCCGATGTCACCACTTTTCAATGTCACGTAAAAGTAAGTCACTTACAGAGTTATTCTGCATCCTCATTTCATAGGCTGCTTGTCTCGGATTACTGGCTACTTGAGAACCCGGTGAATTTCTTGAACCCAAGGCATGAGGGGTTAATATTCCACCAGGAGAGAAAGCTGGTTGATCTCTCTAACACAAATGGAAACAAATGCAGAAATTAAAATTAAATCACAATACAGTTAGATGACAGGAAGAAAAGAAGGCAATGGAATAGAGTCCTCACTGTAAGCACTTATTAAAGGAGGAACTGGATTTCTCTTAGCCTTTACAGGACTGTCCACAATTTGATTTGATGTTAAATCACCCTGTAAACAATATTATGTAGTATTTAATAATAACCATTCTAAAAGTACATATAATACACTGTTCTGATACACAGAATCTATTCAAGACTCAGTAAGCTATTCCATTATGTTTACTGACAATTTCAGAAAACATTCAAGAAACAATTTCAGGCACACAAAAATAATATAACTATGAAGGTTAAAAAACTAGTCAAGAGTTTGATTTATACTTAGGATAACCCACTTTTATTTACCCTTCACCTTGCTAGAATTTAACTCTTTATTTCCAATTAATTATATCTATGATTATAGCTATAATAGGTAACAGTTGTGGCTGACTGGTAAAACATACTTTTTCCACAGATACTGACTGAAAGAAAATAGTAATACATAAGGTAGAAAGCAGATATTCCCCTCGCAATCTAAGTGGTTTTGAACCTACCTGTAACAATAAATAATTCTACTTTTCTCCCTTCTAAGTTCCCCAACTTGCTCACTTCTAATAAAATATAATAATAAAAGGCACTCCCTAAATTCCATGAGTTTAAAATCCAGTAAAGACAAGAAAAACAAGAATCAAAGAAGTAACTATAGAGCATTATGCAATGAGGTAAGAAAACAAATATCACAAGTAAGAAGCAACAGAGTTCAAAGAAAAGGACTGCTCATCCCTGGACCAGGGCCGAGGCCCCAGGGGAAAAGCTAAGATATGAGGGAGTCATGAAGTCAGAAATCCACTCGGAGCTAGCAAATGTAGGCAACACTCTGAGTCAGAAGGGACGTGGTACATTTAGAAGACAGCACAGGCAGCTAAAATCGGACCAGATCAGAGTACACACCACGTGCCAGTCTGAGAGAGAGTGGGCTCTAAGCAGACTATAAAGTCGCTGGTCATTTCCGAACAGGGAAACAAGAGTTTCAGGAAGATTAATCTGACAAAGATGTAGACAGAATGCAGTAACTTATAAGAGAATATAAAGGGTTGACTATTTTTATTACAGAAACAATACCTGATTATCACAAAAAAAAAAATCAAATAGCTAAGCACCCCATGCCCATCAAGTGCATCTTTCCAGACTCAAGAGTTTAGAAAAGACTTGACACCAGCATTCTTTCTCCAGGCAAGAAGGCAGCCCTATCCAACACCTACTTGATAAGGAATAACACTACTGCAATAAACATCTTTCTCCCAAATCGTAAACTTATGCTATTGCCAATCTTATGAAATTAATTAAAACTCACCTTCATTCTCTTTCTTTTTTCTTTCTGTCGTCTTCTAAAACTGTCCTAAAAGTATAAAATCCACATATTCTGTCAAATAATTACACAAAAATGTCAGAGTTAAACATTACCAGGAATGATTTGGGAAACAATTTAAGTTTTAAAGGAAGACCCCAGAAACCTAGGTACATAATTAAACTAGGCAATGGACCATATGTTCAAAGTGCTGTTTATCAGAACTTTAGATGGACAGAGCATTGTAAATGGAGTTTAGATATAATTTAATTGTTCCTCTTAATATTTTCAGATAGTTTTGACATCATTTCAGGAAAGAATGCAAGAGTCATGACAAAGACTCTTGGCTTTACCCTGGAGCGAATAGGCTGTCAACATGGAGAAGATACAAGTAAGAAAACAATTCTTAAGTTTTAGCTGAATACAGTTAATAACCAAGATGGCCATTTAAAAATATTAACAAGACAATTTAATAATGAACTTCTGTTACCTAAAAACGACAGTTCCTAATTCTGTAGCATGTACGGCAAAAGTGGGTAAAGAGAAAAGTGGGGCTCTGTGCAAACACTACCTCCCTCCCGCCTCCCCACCGCCGCCAGGTTCCAAAAAGTCAATCTCATGAAAGAAAGGAAGGAAATTCAGATGTTTGCACTGCTCATTCTGAGCCAACTTAATTCACAGGAAAGGGTCCAGTCTGCATTGATTCTTCCCCTCCACTCATTTTCAAAATGTAGTCACGATTTCAATTAAACAGATTTGGGACTGATCTTGTTTCTCACTAACTGGCCATTCAAAGGCCCCCCTGGTCCCAGGGTTGCCTGGGTGGCTCAGTTGGTTAAGCAACTGCCTTCGGCTAGGGTCATGATCCTGGAGTCCTGGGATCAAGTCCCACATCAGGCTCCCTGCTCAGTGAGGAGTCTGCTTTTCCCTCTGACCCTACTCCCTCTCGTGCTCTCTCTCTCTCTCTCTCATTCTTTCTCTCAAATAAAAATCTTAAAAAGAAAGAAAATTTAAAACAAACAAACAAACAAAAAAATAGAGGCCTCCTGGTCCCAGAAAGCACTCCTTCCATGCCCAAGATTCTGTGAGTATCAAGGCACTGGAACAACTAAGGTCTTACAATAGCCCAAAACAGGGGCCAGTAGGTACTATACTGCCTGCCACCTGACTAGCAGCACTTCTATCCCTTCCAGGTCAGTAATGCCAACTGCAAAATAACACCCTTAATAAGATCTAAAATTTATGCTTTCTGCCAGAAGAGAAGCTAAATGTTGGATATACAGTGAAGAGCTACATTAAAACCTCCTAAGATATGAAATCCACCAATTTCTTTAATCAAGCCTTCCTCTCTAGCTTTAATTTAAATGTTTCTTATCTAGGGTACCAATGAGCTGCAGACAGTGAAAGCCATTAGTTTTCAGTCCTTATCTGACCATGACTCTTTGGTCTTGAATCATGCTCTTCACTTGGCTTCCAAGCCACTACACTCCCCTGGTTCTCTTTTTTCACTCTTGCTGCATGCCTTCGCTCCATGACTCCCCAGCCTCTCAATGTTAGTGTTCCTCTGTGCCTAATACTTGGACTTCTCTACTCTTATGAGAGTAATCATCTAATCTCATGGCTTTAAACACCATCTATATGGTGATTAGTCTCCAACCAGGACCTCTCCCCATTCAACATCTCCAACTGGGTGTCTCAAACTTAACATGCCCAAAACGGAATCCCCACCCCCATCTCTGCACCTCCCAGTCTTCTTCATCAGTTGCTCAGACCATTTTTCAACTGCTCAGATAAAATGCCTTGGAGTCATTCTTGATACTTTTCCTTCTCTCAACCTAGCATTGAATCATTAGCCAATCCAGTGGTTCAACAAAACATTTAAAATCCAACTACCTCTTATCATCTTCACTGCCACCATGCTCGCTCCCTTGGACTGCTGCAAAAGAGCTTCCTAACTGGGCTCTTGTCTTCTATCTTTGCCTCTATATAGTCAACATCCTGGGTACATACCCTAGAGCCTCTGCACTGGCTATTCCCTCTGCCTGAGATGCTCTTCTTGCAAACACCTGCATAGTTTACTTCTTCACATTCTCCAGGTCTTTATTCAAAGTCATCTGTTGGCGAGGCCTTCTCTAATCACCTTTTCTAGAACCGCAACAACCCCATCTCCACGTTCCCAGTATTTCCTCACCTGCTTTAATTTTCTTCCCAGCACTCATCACTCTCTAACACAGTACACAGTTTACTTAGCTTTTGTGCTTATTGTCCATTTCTGGAAGAAATTAAGCTTCATGAGGTCAGGAATTTTTGTTTGCTTTTTTGTTTTTCTGTTATATCAGTGACACTCAGAATACTATCTGGCACATGATAAACACTTAATAAATGTTTGCTGGGTAAATGAGGGACATTTGCAACATAAAGGGCAAACATCAAAGCTTATAAAATAAAAAGCATCACCTTCAACTGCTCAGTTTTAGTAACAAATACTGATGTATTCCTTTTCTACTGTCTGTTTTGTGCTATGAACTCCTCCTTTGGCAATCAGTCAAAAGCCACAGACACACTTTCCAGGAAAAGACATATACCTGTATATTTTTATATTGAATTTCTGAAGGTTCATATATTTCCACCAATGCCCAACCTTGCTGATAGACATCGTATGATGTCAGGAACACCAAAAAAGATACAAAGAGCTTTAAAATGCCCTCTCTGCTAGTCCAGTTGGAAATCGTATTACTTAAGTCTGAAGCACTTTGGTACCTATCAAATCTCATACATCCTGCTCTATGCCAAATATCACCAATATTTATTAGGACAAAGTCTGCTAAAGCCACATAAAAGGGCTGTTCTAATATAAGGTTTTTATATCAAATTGTACACAGTACATACGTATAGTTATTTTCTTAAACATAAATGGAAGCAGGTCAAGTGGAGCCAACTCCACTTGTTGAAGACTTAGTTAAAAATGGCTATGCTGCTACTGGGTATTTACCCCAAAGATACAAAAGTAGGGATCCGAAGGGGTATGTGCACCCCGATGTTTATAGCAGCAATGTCCACAATAGCCAAACTGTGGAAAGAGCCAAGATGTCCATCGACAGATGA